CTGTGACCAAAGGGCACTCGTGGCAATGTGGCTAAGTGGTTAACGTGTCAAACTCACATTATGTACTATTCAATTTTGCATAGCCTTGCTGATAGTCTCGAAAATCTACTTAAATACGAAAAATAAGTAATGTAGTTGATTGTTATAGCAAAAATACGTTTGCTTCATCGGCATTCCCACTATAGAATGTGATATGGGAAAAGGCTTGGCCTTCCTTGAAATTCACATTTGCCCTGTGACTTAAAAGGCGCTCGTGGCAGTGTATCTGAGTGTTTAGCATGTCAAGCTCCCATCCTGCGCTGTCGCGGTTCGACTCCCGCTGAGGGTTTTAATCAGAACGATGCAAGGTCGAAACTGCAGTTCACTGGTGCCTGGATGATAACAACTTTTGGGAAAGCAAGGCTATGTAAAATTCAATAAAAACATCAGCTCAACTCATATCATTGTGGGAAAATTCTTCTTCTACCAGTCCTTCATTACCTTAAACGAAATTGGATGAATACATCTCATACTACTAATTTACAGGTAGTCACGAAAACAATACTAAATTCGAAAGATAAAGTTTTGGTCAGGTAGGACAGGTATTTTAAATTACCCACCCAGGAGATTTTCTCTTCCATGTCTTGTCAACACCCTCTTCGATATTCGAAACTTTATATCACTTTGGTAGACATAGGCTTAGTAAAGTTGCATCTGTTACGAATGCCCTTCCAGATTCCGTAATGAATGATGTTATGATATTTCTTGCTGAAATGATTGTTGTATCAAGTTTCCCTTAGAGAGAGTGGGGCTCTTCTTGGAACTAATCCTGAACTCATAACTTTTTAAGGTCAATATTTTCCATAGAGGACTTTGAGAATATTGAATGGTAGAAATGTGGATAAAATTAATGCCACAACGGCTTTAGAGTTAAGGATGGTTTTAACCGGGGCCCTCGAGCCTCTTACCCAAGCTGGTCGCTTCGAAACCAGCCACGTGTGTTGCTTCTGCAGACTTCTCTCCATGGATCGCATGGTCGCCGGCGTCTCGGGTGATGGGGATTGCTGCTTTTTATTTGTATTCTGGCCATGCTGTTGGTACTGCTGCCCAGATCCTAACCGACAATTCGGCTGTTGCTGTTGCGGCTGTCTCGACCGCCGAGCCTTTTCTGTTCTCCGGCGGATGGGCAACACCTCAAGACTGCCACGTTTGGTCAAGCCACCCAAACGGCTCTTTGTTGTGACAATAGTTGGCAGGCATTTTTGGACCTTATGGCCGTTTTGGGGAGCGATGGAGGGGCGAATTTGTGAAGAGAGAGCAGTTCTCGCAGACATGGAGTTTGAGGCGGCAGCCGAATGCGCCGACTGAGAGGCATGGGGAAAGTTTGGAGGCCGAATTGGGCCGCTGCTTAATCGGTTGGGCGAGGCGTTGTGCGAATAGGAAGAAATGACTCTAGTTCTGTTGAAGGCCGGACTAGTGGCTGACCTTAGCCTATGATTGGAGGGGCAGAAAAAGTATATATTGTGGTTGGGTGAGAGAGAACAATTACAAACACTCGTCATAAAGTATGCAGTAAGAGAGAGCACTTAAGTGGATGGTGATTTCACCTAAGGACAATGGAAATTAACTGAAGATATGAAGACCAAGATGTTGTGGCCTCTGGTATGGTCGCAGTCATAACTTGGTCTTCTTGTCAGGGCGACTTAGTAGAACGCACCTAGTGCGAAGTCGTCTGCCATAGTAGTTGTCATGATTCCCAGCATCTGACAGACGACTTCGGACTAGGTGCGTTCTACTAAGTCGCCCTGACAACAAGACCAAGTTGCGACAACGTGTTCAACTTAATGGAAATTAACGTTTGAAGGAAAATATGCGCCAAGAGGAGCTAGCAATGTGTTAAAAGAGTAGCATGTTCGTTGAGCGTCTAACCAGTTTTTGCCCAGTGATGGTGCTGACCAAGCCGTAGGTGAAGAATTCGAGGCTTAATCCAGCCAGTTATGATAGTAAATCAGATGATGGGAGAGCCTTCTTCAAAGAACGATTCAGCATGTATTCCCGAAAAGAGGAGAAATAGTACCAGTGGAGCAAAGACGATCTTCTGATGTCTTACCTTCCAATGGGGTCGCTCAACGAGTCTGTTTAATGCATATTTTTAAGCAAAACAGAAACTACTCACTAAAGCAGTGATTCCCAAACTGTGACCGCCGCGGCGCCCCAGGGAGCCGCATGGAATTGACAGAATTTTGGATTTCAATAAAAGATAAATATCCCCTTCTAAGTGAAAAGGCTCAGCGTATTCTAATTCCATTTTCGACGTCGTATTTGTGCGAAGCTGGGTTTTCGGCGGTCGCTGTAATAAAAAGCAAGTATAGAGCAAACATCAACGTAAAAAAGGAAATGAAGGTGGCCGTGTCCAGTGAGAAAATGTGCAGTGATTTGCAGGCCCATCCATCACATTAATTGTTAAATAGTAATTTAATGTTAATAAAGTAAAAAAAAATAATGAAGATACAAGACTTTTAGAAGTTGTTTGACCTTGTTTTCGCAACATGGTCATATTGGTAGGAAGACTTAGAGGAACACACCTA